AAGCCATAAGTTTCTTTCATAGAGCCATTAACTATGGTGCCCAAAGGTCATTGAACAACTTCTTAGCTTACTTCTCGTACTAATACTATATAAACCACCTTGCTTTATTTATAGTATTCATTCTTTATAAGGTTTCGTGAGAGAAGAGAGAAAACTAATTAAGTCTTGGTGGTTAGACTAATTGAGCAAATATTGGCAAGACACACCCAATAAACATCCACAAGCAATTAGATGGAGAAGCTTTTCTCCCCCACTCCACTCTACTCCTTGAACGTGCTCAGCCACATTGAAATCCCCTGCACAATAAACGCCTCCTTTAGTCTTTTTTACAAAATAATACAGGTTTCATTGTTTAACCAATCACCGAGTCAACTCAAATACTTGTCCCAGTCGGCACGGATCGGAAGCCAAATGATTCCGGCCTGAAGAACCATGAATTGCCCGATTCTCTATATTTTTTGTTTTTTATTTATTTTAAACAGTCACATGAGACCTTGGTAGGAATAAACCTCTATACATCATGTTGTGGATCCCTCACCACCCTGGCTAAAGGCAATCCTCCGAGTCTTATAATTTTTTCTTAATATGTAAATATTACTTATTTATATAAGAAAAAAGTTTATATAAGGTTGCAACCTTATATTGTTGAAGTATGGTGTATATCAAAAATCCTGTAGTCGATAGGGTTCTAGCATATGAGAACCTTCCAGCTGATCATCTCGACCTTGAGATGAATGAGCATGAGGAATAAAAAAAATCTAAGTCCAAAAAATATTGCATCTTGCAACAAGTTATATGGACCATCTATTTAAAGATTTTCAAGTGTTTCTTGATCTGTTCGATCTATACTATTTTTTAAATTTTAAATTTTATAACAGAAAATAAAAACTTGATCTACTCGATCTGTACCATTTTTAAAATTTTAAATTTTATAATAGGAAATAAAAAGAGATTTTCGACACCGAAACCATCTTTAAGTAAATTTTTTAGGGGCGCCCTACTTCTACAGTACAACTTTATACAAACTGCATCCATACATGCCACCTTCCAACTCGGACTCGTCCAGTTGGAACGGGGGACTCAGGCTAGGGCCTGTTGCAAGTTGTTGCCCAAGTTCGGCTTTTTAAGCACCAACAGATACGTTCCCATTCGTTAATGACAAACATAGCTCTAAAACCTTGGGTTTTCTAACCAAAATCATAGTGACGAGGCCCTTAAACCCTACGCAGTAATTTTAAAAATTGAAAAAAACGGAACTTGGCTCATAAAAAATGAGAGAATCAGGCTTGAAGGCACTCACCTCGTGTATCAGTGTCTCCACAAGCAGCTAGTATGGTAGATCGTACATCCCCAACAGTGGCCTTGTTGTAAAATAAGAAGTTAGATAGAATCCCATCAATGCAACTGAGCACCAACTGTGTCTCTGTTAGGCAAGGCCCATTGCAGTATTCGTCTGTCTTTTCGTATGGAACGTTGATCGTACCAGCCTCTGATAGTCGGAATGATTGCTCACAACTATCGTATATCTTTTTTCGCCAAAGGATCATTTCCCCCATATTATTATGGATATAATCATACCCAATTAAAACAAATATTCAAGAAATCTCTAATCATCTTATAAGTTTCTGGTCAATTTCTTGTCTGTACGGTTGGGTAGGATTTTTTTTTGTTTCCCTTTTTGGAACTGTTATTGTTGGGTAGGACTTTGTTGAAGAATATTATGTTGAGTTAGGTACGACTTTGTGAATGAAAGGAATCGAGGCAACATTGGCATCTACATGATCTTAGTTATAGATGGGATCCTGCCTAAGCTAAACATTGAATGATGCGAGGTCATTGAAATTCTTGATTGGTGTTAATATTTGATATAAAGTGTGTAGATTTGATGTTGGTCATTTTGGCTATTTCCCTAGAAATGATACAAAGGATGGGCTTTATTTGCAAGTGTTATTTTAATTGGAAATCTTGCGCCGTGTTTATTTCATTGAACCAGTAGCTTCAAGAACTGCAGCACTTCTGGGGTTTGTTTATGGGAAGTGTGATGTTATTTCGGAAGTCGGGGATTCCGGCAGCTTCCAAGACAACATCACTTTCGGCCTGTTTTGTGAATGCCATTGATTTTATGCTTTTCATGGAAATGGTGGCTTCCAAAGAGTGGGGATAGGGATCTTTAGTAGCTCCCTATTCCACAAAATAAACACGTCTTTAATAAAGAGTGATTTATGTATGGATTTTAAAATTTTAGGTAAAATATAAAATGCTCCACTTATACACAAAAATTATAAAGAAAGTCGGTTAACCCACCTTCTTTTATTTTTTCCAAAATTACCTTCCAGTCAATTCAAATTTTGATTTTTATTTTTTTGGTATTTTCGTTAGTAAAACAATGCATTAAAGTTTGGGGCACTGCACAACTAACAAAAAAAAAAAATTAAAATCTGGGTTGACCAAAAGCAATTTTGAATTTTTTTTTTTTAAAAAAATGCTTGTTAACTGATATTCTTCGTAATTCCTGCTTGCAGACAGAGGATTTTGTATTTTACCTAAAATTTTAAGATCCCTATGTAAATCACTCTAAAAGAAATGGGTGCCCAAGTCTGTCAGACACTAGGCCAAGCATAGCAATACCGTTAATAAAAGGTTAGAAATATTTGATACTAGACAGGTTCCCGTGGTTTGAGTTCTGAACTTGGAAACTTGCCGAGTCTGAGGGACTCGAGCGAATCCATGTAAAAAAAGACCGAGTTTTGATTAACTTGCAATGTACAAACTTACCATTCGATTGTTAAAGCAAAGCAATGCCTGGGAGACGATCTGGCTTGGATCTTGTAAATCTCCATGCACTGCATCGAACAAGAGGTGTTGGAGTGATAAATATTTGAAAGTATTAAAATTAAATAAATGTACATAAATAACTCCTGTGTGAACCCACCTAAGTTGCAGCAAAGAATGGCTACAATGATGAACTCTATTCCAGAACGCATGCCTTTTGGAGACGACAAAGCCATGAAGAGAGACAGAGAGAGAGAGCAAATGCGTTATGTGTGGGGTGAAAGGTTTTAGTGTGGGGTGTACATATATATAATTCATTTCATGCACAATATTTATATGAACAAGCACACGTGTGAATCACCACAAGGCAAACATTTCACTTCAATCTTCTCGATTGGGAGATCCATGCCTTGTGAAATCCAACGAACCTATACTATCCATTTACTCCCTCGACATAATTTACACTAAGAATATCTTTTAATCTTAAATCTTGGGGATGTGATATTGAGAACCCTGCAACCAAACTCAAAGGGAGAAAAAAAGAAAAGAAGAAAAAAAAGAAGTCACTCTCTATGTGCGTGAAAAAAAATGCATCTCAAGATTGGATTGGAACCATCCAATATTGAGAAGGAATGATCTAGATGTTCAAGAGCTTATCACTAGAAGTTCAACATCTAGTTATCACTGGATGGATCCCACAATTTCGAATGAAAAAGAATTCTCCAAAATGTTTTACCTGAGGGAGTAAATATATCATATACTCCTGCACGGGAGCATGGTACACGCGCTAAAAAAATTGATAGATCAAGAAAGTCCATTCTGAGTCGAATTGTCTACACGTGTGACTAAAGGCTGCTTGAAGATGGTGAAATGTTGGGCCCTATCGATGGCATCCGACGGTCGGATCTACCTCGCTCCATCAAATACAATGAATCTAGACTGTTCAATTGAACGATGATGCTAGGAAAAAAGAGGGGTCGGTGGTTGTGGAGGAATTCACCAAACGTGACTTGCTCTGGACTTTGGAGTCGAGTGTTTCAATAATCAAACCTAAGCTTCCTTTTTAGCGACTTTTCATATTCGAAAGAGTCTAATCACGAAACAAGTTTTAAATGAGGAAAATAACTTTATTCTAAAACCAATGCGCCATTGATTCTACCAACCAATTTCCGTGAAGTTGAATATACGTGAAATTACTGAATCCCCCCGAAGCTGGAACAATTTCTCCAAAAATACCACCTTGAGAAATGAGAAGTCTCTCACACCCCTTAACCCCGAAACACAATTTTGTTTAATTGCACCCATTGGGACACTATCAAGAATAATTTAT